ATATTTATTTGCTTAATTTTAATAAATATTTTTAATTACCTGTAGCTATGTGGATTTATCTTAACACAATTCTCAAAACTTTGGTTAGTTGGTTCAGAAGAATGAGAACTCCCTTTAAAAAAAAAAGAAAAAGAAACAGATTACTTCCTGGTAAAATAATTCTTTGGAGTTTAAACATTAAACCATAAAACAACCCCAAACCAATATGTATCTGACCTCTGAAAAAAATATTAAATGAGTAATTACAATCAATGTTTGTCTAAAGCGATAGCAGTGCATAAGAATTACATAGGCCTGAGGCTATATAAGCCACAAGATGTTGTTTTGATCTATATAGCTCTACGCTAACTATAGAAAATCCTCAGTATTATCTGCCTCCAGTATAGAAGGCATGGGTTTTCTAAATTGTACTGACAAAAACCAATGCAATTTTACACTGGATGCTGAGCAGCTAGGAAGGGATGCGTGAAAACATACCATGTTCTAACCCTTTCTGCAAGTATACAGTTAACTGGGCAGTACTTGTTGGTGCCTCAATCAATTTTCTTTGAAAATATATTAAAAAACAAAATAAACTACAAAGAGAAGCTATTTTCCTTTGTAACAAGGTACTGTTTTGTTATTCTTACTTGTTTGCTTTTAGTTTAGCAAAAAGGATGAAAAAAGAATAAAATAAACAAAACCATGATACATCAATAAGCCAGAAGTAATTTTTTGTTGTTGTTGTTGTTATTAGGTACCACTGAGTTGGTACTGAGTAATAGCAACCTGATGCTGGTTTGTGCCAACCTCACAATCGTTGTTACGTTTGAGCACACTGCTGCTGCCACTGTGCCAATCTATTTCATTGGGAGTCTTCCTTTTTTTTTTCTGACCCTTCACTTTACCAAACATAATATCCATTTCCTGGGACTAGTCCTAACTGACAATATTTATGAGACAGGGAATCTGGCCATCCTGGTTTCAAAGGAGCACTCGGCTGTACTTCTTCCAACATAGATTGATTTGTTCTTTTGGAAGTACATGGACTTTCAATATTCTCCTCCAGCACCATAGCTCAAATGCATCGATTCTTCTATGGTCTTCCTTATTCTCTGTCCAACTTTCATATACAAATAAGGCTACTGAAAATACCATGGCTTGGGTCAGGTGCACTGTAGTGCTCAAATTGATTATCTTGGCTCTTCAACTATTTAAAGAGGTCTTGTGCAGCAAATTTATCTAATGCAATATATTGCTTGATTTCTTGACTGCTGTTTTCATGAGTGTTGATGGTTGATCTGAGCAAAATGAAGTTGTTGGTAACTTCAATCTTTTCTCCATTTATATGTATGAAGTTTATTGCTTCAGTGGTGAGGATTTTTTTTTTTTTTTTCTTTACATTGAGGTGCAACCCATACAGAAGACTGTGATCTGTATGGGTTGATGTTTATCATTTAAATATTTTAAGTCCTCTTCACATTCA